ATTGCTCTAGGCATATCTGAGGCTTTCGACATGTTGACATGTTGGTCTTCTCCATAAGCTTGTTTCATACAGTGTATCTGGAAAATTTTTGAGATTATCAAATTGTTTTTTTTCTAACCGCCTTAACAAAGTCATCCTCGAAGGTCAACACTCTTCTTTATTTCCAGTAACTTCTTCTCAAGGTTTTATCTTTGGTCCTGTTTTATTACTTATCTACATTAATGATCTTCCTGACAACCTCACATCTAAAGTAGCTCTTTTTTTTCTGATGACTTAACTTAATACTAATGTCTTGACAAAAACTCTTCTCTTTTTTGCTTAGAACAGACAGCCCATCTTCTATCTGATCTCACTTCTGTAATTGATTGGGGCCTACAGTGACTTGTAAATTTAAATTCCAACAAAACTCAGTTATTTACCTCAAATAACTATTGCAGTACTGTTGACACTCCTATTTTAATGAATGGCAACCCTCTCACTGATTCCTCTTCTTCATGTCTTCTTGGGTTATAATTTACTACTGACCATTCATGGAAACCATTTATACAATGGATTGCTAAATTAGCATATGCTAAGCTTTCTTCTCTTTATCGTGCTCATCATTTTCTCTTTCCTGGTTCCATTCTCTACCTCTACAAATTTCTTATTCGTCCCTGTATGAAATACTATTGTCACATTTGGGCTGGTTCTTCTAATGATGCTCTTTCTCTTCAAGATAAGGTCCAAAAAGGCATTGTAAACAGAGTTGAACAAAATCTATCTGCTAAGCTTGAGTCTCTTTCCCATCGTCGTAAAGTTGCATCTCTTTCTCTTTTTTATAAATACTATAATGGTTGCTGCTCAAATCAAGCTTTCACCTTTAGTTCCATCAACCAAAACTCATTCTTGCTTGACTTATCTTTTGTCAATATTTCATTCTTTTACTGTACCTGTCTCTTTATGCTCCAAAAACATTTATTTGTCTAGCTTATTTCCCAGCACTTCAACCCTTAGGAACTCTGTCCCATATTCATGTTTTCTTGACTCATACAACCTTCAACTTTTTAAGTCTTTATTCAACCATTTCCTTGCTACTCTTTTTTTCTAGCAACTCCTAACTTGATAGCGTTTGCTTGCAGCATTATTGGGAGTAAAAAAGAGTTAAAAAAATATAGATAATAATGCCTAAATTGGTTACTTTTAAAGCTTTTGCCTGTAAACAAAGTCAAAATAAACAATTATCCAAAAAATTCTAAGTGATGCAAAAGGTTAAGTTTATTTATTATTTAATTGTTATAATAATGCAGGATAAAAATATTAAAATGCCATCGGTTGGAAAATCGTTAAAAGTGGCCAATGCCGATACCGATTCCAATTGTGCAAAAAATGGTCAATAAAGCCAATGCCGATGCCGATGCCGATTAATCGGTACATCACTAATATCTAGATTTGAACATATAAGTGTTTTTAACAAAATAATTTGAAGAATTTGTTGTTGACTTTATTTTTTTATTTTTTTTTGGAGAGTTTAATTGTTATTTAATATACTTTTCAAATAAATTTGCTAATTTATTTACTTATATATACAATAAATAAACCAACAATGTTGTGATACGCATTATTAGCGTATAGTCAAACAAAAGTAGATGCCAGACTTTAACAGCTTTTCATAGTTTTGTATATATTTTACTTAGAGTGATAAAAATATATCTAAGTTTTTCGCTTTCACATTTTCTAGTTATAAATGGTTTTATTTGTCAGCTATTCTATTTATAATAAAATAATGTTGACCGTTTGATTTTTGAATTGTTATTTATATATAATTTATTGTTGTCTTTTGTAATAGAATTTTTTATAATTATAAAAAATTCTATTACAAAAAACAACAATAAATTATATAATTATATTTCCAATATTTATATAAATATTGGAGCGTTATGCCAATTTATTACATACAATTCATTATTAGGTCTGTATAGTTAAATCACATCACCTCTTGATCTTCTAATTTTCAATGTGGAGAGAAAGGTTTATCAGTGAGTTTTTACATGATAAATCTTTTAGATTATAAACACGAATTGCTCATGTTGGAGTTGCTCAATCAAAATAACATGTTTCCGTATGGAAACATGTTATTTTGATTGATGTTATTATATATGGAAACATGTTATTATATATATATATAAACTCCTTAATGGGGTTCAATATTCAAGGTGAGGTCTAAATAATGATGTACTATGAATGTTATATTTCTTTTATCTAATAATTTCAAGAAGTGTTTGATCTGACTTCGAAAGACATTTTTTCTCTATAATTTCATTTTTAAAATGCTTTCATTAAAAGTTATAAAAAATTGCCAACAATTATGCTGTTAACCTGATTTTTGTTTTAGTATGTAGCATATATTTTTATATATTTCATTTTAGTATGGATGCTCCAAACTTTCTGCAACTGTGATAATAAAACTCCATTCCATAGGTTTGATGTCTTTTCTCATTTTGTTATTTTATATGAAAAACATTAAATAAAATAATTTTAATTATTAGATTTAATAGTAATAATGTTTTGTTTTTAGAGTTTGTTTGCGATGATTAATGTGCCAACACATAAATGTAGCAATGGCAATAAACGTTATGTTAACACAAAAATGCCAAATCTCAAGTTAAATGGTTTATCTAAATTTGGTAAGTTTACACTTAATCAAATAAGTTATTAATATTTCTATTTTCAATGTTTAAGGTTTGGAAAAGTTTTTTTCCCTTAATTTTACTATTACTAATTACTTGATTTACTGTGTTTTATAAAATAGTTTCTGTGTATAAAATTATTTAGGAAGCATTTTAATTTTAATTTTTAAATTTTTTATTTATCTTTTATTTATTTAAATTAACTTTTACAAAAAAACAATGAATAAAATACATACAATAAGAATTACAAATTCTGTTAACTTTACAATAAGAACGCAGATACTCACAGAAGGTCATAAGATTTTGTCATCGTGAACCGCCTTAACAGATTTTAAATAAATAAAAATGTTTAAGATGCTTTAAATTGTAATACTGTGGGAATATTTTAAAGTTATCTATTTATAATAAAATGATAAATTGCATGTCATACTTTATTTAGAATCTGCTGTGAATTAAATTAAATATCATGAAATGTCAATTTTCAAGACATAAAATTTTTAATGGAGTTTAGGTCCATAATAATCTAAGTACCACATGTTTTAATGAATATATTTGCAAGTATCCTGCATCTGGTTGTAATTGCAAATTTTCATTGTGATATTCATTACGTTTTAGTTCACAAAGTTATAAAAAGATCCTTAACTCAAGTCAATGTTTTTTTTTTTTTTTTTTTGTATATATTTAAGTGCTCCCAGAAGTCCTTACGGTCTTATTATAGAGCACCGCGGGTGAGCATTTAACAAGAAATTCACGCCTCCGTCCGTAACAATGTCGCTTGTTGAGCTAGAGCTGGCGTCGAGCCTCGGACCTCTAGGTTCTGAGCCAGAACTCAAACCATTGCGCCACGGCTGCTCTTTGTCTAACCACTGCGCCACGGCTGAGCCAGAACTCTAACCACTTCGCCACTGCGCCACGGCTGAATGTAACTGTGGTTTGTTTTCAATGGATTGAACTTTTTCGTCAATAATAAAAATAATTGTTATTTTAACATGATAACCATGTCGTTTACAAGTTGTGACCATTTTGTACATATGTTGCTACTATATTGTATTAGTAAATATGTAATAAATTATTAAATTGTGCTTATGTTTATTTTTATTTTATTAAAGTTAAAACGGGTGCTAGCACTAAAGAAGACAATAACGTTACAAAATGAAAAAGAAATTTATAACGAATCATGTAGACAATTGGATATGAATCGCAGAAAAGCACCATTGTCGAATGATTATAAATCAAATCTTTGTATTATAATTGCGTAAATAGATTTTAAAATTTAGACCTGTTTTTCAAATTTATTCATAATAATTAAAATTTTCCTCAAACTAATGAAAAATATGCCAGTTTTAAACCAACAAATTACAGTCAATTATGCTAAAAACAACTTTAAATAATTAAGAGGACGGGGTTTAAAAGGAAAATATAGGGACTTCAAGTAGGATTGCCCGATGAAAATCTGTAACAATCTCATGCGCGACCCAGTTAGTTAACAAAGACAAAATCACGATGGTACGGTAAAATACAATGGTATGTAAAAATGGCTAATCATTGTTCTACGAGTTCTTGTCCCGTACTGGCTTGCCGCTGTTTTGCCATCGCTGGCTAGTCATGGCTGGTCCATGAAAAATCCTTAGAGCAAAACGGAGCTGCAGCCGAAGCCGGTCCAGCAAGGCAGCCTATACAGAACCAGTGCGGGACCATTATATCCTTGCTGTCTAAGTAGCTCTTCGTTTATATATTGTGTATAAAAGCATATGCAAGCATGTTGAAGCATATGCGAGAGCTTGTTTATCCTATGTTTTGGGTTAAACATGCCCTCTTTTTTTTAATACTCATGCAATTTAAAAAATTAAAAAAAAAATTATAAAAACAATAATTTAAGAAAAATTTTATAAAGGATTTTATCAATATAAGTACATGAAGTATAGTCCTGCAAGGTACTTTATAGAAAAAGTAAATAAATAACGCTGCGCACGCAAAAAAATAAAAAAAAATAAAAAAAATAATTAAAGTATAGGTTTAAGGTAGGATTGAACCATTATGAATATTATAACATTAAATTCATTTTAACATTTTCGTTTTTTACGGAGTAAGTTCAATTTAGCTATGTACTTAAAAACTAATAAAGTTAGTAGTTACTTATTTACTAAATAAAATGCTTGATTTCACCACGTAACAATATTTAGTTTACGTTAAAATACCAGATTTAAATTAATAAAAGACAAACAAACAATTTGTAAAAGAAAAAAATTAATCATTAGCATTTTCATCATTAATAAACATATATAAACGTAACAAAAAAAAATCACAATGAAAATATAATATAAAAATGTCGCACTTAGTTGCTTACGCTGTAAATGAAGATTTGACCACTCGATCTTTTATGGGTTGTGTTGATCGATAATTATTAGTTATTGTTGTAGATTCAGATCGACGTTGAAACTTAAAAGAGCATTCTAAATCAGAATATTCTTGAGGATAATTTCTGCTCATTTTCTCCAGCTGATTGATAGAGATTTTTACTGGTTCTGTAAAGAGTGTCCACGTGACGTTTTCTGTAAGAGGTGGCATTGTCAAAGATCCAGGATAAGTAAAATAATGATTTGTATTTTTAGGTAACAAAAGATAAGGATCTACCATAAACGAAGCAGTATTGTTCATATACGGAACTTTTTCAAACATCTCAAGAAACACTTCGAATTCTTCGTTGTTATCGTACGATTCATTTGCATCTATAAGTACACCGACAACAGCTAAACCATCAGGACTTGCAATAGCTTCAGATTCTGTTGCGTATAAATCTGTGTTCCAATGAACTGCATGAAATTCTGCAGCATATCTTTTGCCGTCAATAGTATGTTCGCAACCAAGTTCGCACTTACCTTCGTAAACTTCTCCCCAGTGAAAATGCATTTCACGAAAAGCATAATTATAAGTCAACGCTCCTCCGCTCAAAGAAATTTGTTTATTGTTATTAGCCTTAAAAGACACATTCCATCCAATGTTGGTCACATCAACTAAAATTCTTTGAAAATCCAAATTTAAAGTTTTTAGATTTTCGTCGTGTTCCACATTTTGTAAAACAATATCAATTGGAGATTGTCTTGTTGTTAAATTCCATTTTTTCTGCCATTGTTCGGGACCGTGGTTGTTTGAAAAATCCCAAAAAGAACTGTTAGGATTACAAGAGATTTTACAACTTGTATTTTGTGTTAAGTCAATTTCTTTTGAAGTTTTATCAAAATTGATCTCGTTAATTAAATAATTAGCTAAACAGTTGCATAATAATTGCGAGGTGGGTTGAATCAAAAGTTGTGAGGTTGGTTGAATTGAATCGTTTTTCTATAATAATTACAGAGAGTAAAAATTATCATTAAACTAATTTTGAAAATTGGAAACATTAAAAACATATACTAGATATAAATAAACATTTTTAAACAAAAAATTTCTTTTTTTTACCTGATTGGGAAGTATTTGTATTATTTCTTTATTAAGAATTAAACTAAATAAATTATTTTAGTCTTACTATTTCGTAATTTATTTCTTAACATAAATAATTCTATTTTGATTGTCAATAACGCTTAAAGAACGGTAAATTGAGTTATACTTTTTTTAGTTTACATTTTTAATTTTTTAATTATTTCAAAAAAAAAAAAAAATTATAAATAAAGACCAAAAACAAAATAAAAACTATTATTTTTTAATTTGGTTACCATATAATTTCCCACATCAAATCTTATTTTTGGAAATATTAAAAAAATAAGAACTTTTTTTCACTTTTTACTTATTTTTTTCTTTAACGTAATTTATTTTAGCTTCAATTAAATTAATGCATGCATAATTACTTTAATTATGCATGCAGTATAGAGACCTTAAAAAACATAAAAAAAACAACAAAAAAACAAAAAATAAAATAATCTATGGATAAAAATAAATCATTTACTGACACAAAATATTTTACCTTAGTTTCTAGAATCTCCATGCTGTTGTTAATTTTTTTTTCTCTTGTCCTGTAAAATGGGTGCAATTTATGAAGAAAGTTAACAAACGTAGTGGCGTCAACGGATGCAATTAAAGACTAATATTTAGAAAATGCAATGTTTACTCGTTAACTATTTAATACTTAATTATAGCAATTACAACATAAATTTTAGGCTAAAAGGAACCATTTAATGATATGCAACGTTCATTAAAAAAAATTAAAACCCTTAATGGTAGATCAGAAAAGACTTATTTGTAGAAAAGCTATTTAACGAATCATATATTACAAATGACACGTTTTGTCAATAGCTGTAAAGAAACTGTAAAATGCCTAAAAATTAACTTTTTGTTGTAATTTGAAAGCGTGAACTTTATGTCTAAGTAAAGATAATGTTGAAGACAATGCGTGTAGAAATACGTAATACTTTTTATTGCGTTATTAACGAGCCAATTGGAAGAGTGAATTTGTTTACTAAACTCTAAACAAATTTTATAATATAAGGAAATAGTTTAATTTTACCAGGAAATAATTTAAAACTCTCTGCATCCGGTACTACTCAATTCAATAAAAAATGTGTGCATCATTAACTGGATTTGCGCACTAAAGACTGAAAACAACGTTTATTTCTGTCATTTATTACCAATGAACGTATAAAAAAGTCTGCAATTTTAATTAAAAATAATTTATTTTTTAAAAGTTTTACTTAACATTTTTTATTTTCAACAAGATTAATTGCAACTGTTGTTTTTGTGTAAGTTAAAGAATAGTTAAGAAAAGCAAAACTAGGTTTAAATGTTCTGGATGTCACCTACTGCTGATCACCAACTATCATCTATGGATTAGAAACACTTAGGGGAGATTTTGCGGTTGTGTGTGTGAAGGAGGGGTGGGGGGATTATAGTTGGTTTTTTGAGGAATATAGTTGGTTAGTCGGGCATTTATCAAATATTTCAAAAAATCACTCGTTTTATTTCAGCCGAGTTATTTTTTGTTAACCTTTTTCTTTTTTAGCAAGCAGTTGGTACTTTTGAAGGATTTGTCCCCCTCATTTTATTTCTAGAATCGCCCCTAGGAGCTCTTGCTATATATATATATAAAAAAAATAGTTTGGTTGGCAACTATAAAACTATTATTTTAACTGTAAATTTATAATAAATTGTAGTTAGTACTTTTGAAGGATTTGTCCCCCTTATTTTATTTCTAGAATCGCCCCTAGGAGCTCTTGCTATAAAAAAAAAAGAAAAAGAGTTTGGTTGGCTAAATATAAAACTATTATTTTAACTGTAAATTTATAATAATTTATAATAATTTTTATATTATACAATAATTAGTTTTGTTTTAATTAAATTACAATATTTTCTTTATTCCGCCTCCAATGGCTTCCACCTTTCTATTAGCGGCCGCAGTCAAAGTTTTTTTTCAGAGGCAAAATGTTTTGGAGGCCGACGCCAATAGAGAGGCAGAAGCAAATTGTGGCTGCCTCCAGAAAAATTTTTGGAGGCAAAAGCATTTGGAGGTCGCCTCCAATAGCTTCTGCCTCCCAGCTGGCTGCGGCCCCCAAATTGAAATTAAAGAAAAATAGAAATTAAAATATTAACTGACAACAAATGTTAGATATTTGACATCAAAGTTTTGTTTTAAATGATTTATTGACTATTTAAAAAATTTTTGAAAAAAAAATTATAAAACTTTAAAACTTAAAACTTTAAAACGTGTAAAAGTGAGTCCATATTTTAAAACGTTTTAAAAGTATAGAGTAAAACATAAATAATATTTATAAAAGTATATATATTTAAATTTTATAACTTTTATTTTTTTTTGTTGTAATTTGGGAAAACTATTAGCGTAATGCAAATTTTTAATATACGTTAGCAGATTTTTTTTCAATAACTTTTGGAAGATCCAGTTATTAAAAATAACTATTTAACGTTATACAACTTTTAACTTTTATTTTGAATAATAAAACTTCTAATTTATTCTACTTAATTTATTAATTAAAAAAAAAAAAAAAATAGAATTTTTTTAAATACTCCAAACTTTGCAAATAATCATTTAAAATGAAACTTGATGTCAAATAACATTTGTTTCTAGTTAATACTTAATTGCTTTAAAGCAAATGCCCAATTATTTTTAATTACATTCGCCGGCTGGAGGCAAATATTTCCGCCTCCATTTTGACGGCCGCAGCCATTTGGGAGGCAAAAGCCATTGGAAGCGGGCTTCAAATGATTCTGCCTCCACAATTTTTTCTGGAGGCGACCACCAATGGCTTAGGCCTCCCTAATGGCGTCGACCTCCAAAACATTTTGCCTCCAAAAACTAACTCTGGCTGCGGTCGTCACTAGAAGAGCAGAAGCTACTGGAGGTGGAAGAAAGAACATTTTCCAGCTAAAAATTATTTGGAGGCCGCCGTCAACAGCTTCCGCCTCCCTAAAAAGTTGGACTTTCGGCAGAAGGCTACTTTGCTGGCACGCAGTATTATCATCTCTGGTAAAAACAATATGACTTTTGAAAAAAAAAACTGGTTGCTGATAAGAGAATTAAAATTTAAAAAAAAAAAAAAAAATCTTTTAACATTAGTTTCTGATTTTAAGTACTTCTAAAATTTTTTTTTAGTACTATTATATATTTTAGTATTATAAACTATATTAGTTTACTTCTTTATACTAAAATATTTATATTATTTTTTCCGTTACAATCTGGTATTTAGATATCGGCCGATTTCCAAATACCAAATTGTAACGGAAAAAAAGCATAAAAAAGGATTACATATAACTTTTTTAATTTATTTTTTATTTTAACAAGTAACTAGAATATTTGATACTTAAAATTTATCAGTGGAAAGTTATGATAAAAACATTTTCATTGTTGACATGATGACAAATGAGTGCATTTTTCCTTATAAATTATACATACTTCCAAAAACTTTCCAAAAAAAACTCACTACCCTTTTTTTCCACATATACAAATGTGTGCATATTTTCAGTAGAAACTGGTTTGATCGTTTTTATTTACATATCGTTTTCTTACGAAATGGAGCTGAATTTTCACCGGTGCTACTAGACACCGGTTATAGTTCATTGGCTTTCACTGAACTAACTTTTTACTAAGAAAGATTTTGATGTTTTTTACACATTACAATCTTCCTTATAGCATTTAATAAACTTTTGTGTTTAGCTCGTTGAGTTTTAACGAAGCCAAGGAAATAATTTTTTGAACATGCATAAATAAAAAACATAACAGTATAATTGTCATTCCCATTGAAGTTAGACCATGTTTTAAATTTCGTTTGTCGTAAAGATACCATTTTTAATAAGTTTAGAATTCTTTGTACCATGGCCTCTTATATTCACGGCCGTATATTTTACATTTTCGAGGGGTAAATTAAGAGGCCGGTTTTGAAAGTTTTAGACCTAAAATACGCTAAAATATTATTTTTAAAAACATTCTTTTTTATGAATTTACTAACTTTTAAAGAATTTATATTGAAAATGGTCAACAAATGTGCTGTACCAAAATGTACATCGGCATACTTAGAAAACAAACCCAAAAAAATAGCATCATTTCATTTTCCAACAGACCAAAACTTAAATCAATTTTGGATACGATTTGTTAATTGTTCAGATTCCGGTTCCCAGACGCTTTAACGGAGGAGAATACAGCGCCAAATCTGTATAAATAAATTTTTCTATGGTGTTATCCTTTGTAAAAGCCGGACGTCTGGCAACCCTAAAACTTTATAAAATCAGTATGCTAGAACATTTTCCTTCTTATATGAGAAACTACGCATTAGAAAATCATGACATTAAAGATGAAATTAAAGATAGAGAGCTTTATCAACCACAATGCTAATAAAGCTCTCTACCTTTAACTTATCAGCCACAATGTTTATAAAGGCCACCATACTTAGCAGAAATGATTCAATATGCATTACTTTTACGATATACATCTTTGCAGGCATACAAACTACTGTTAAAAAATGTTCCTTTTGCCATCAATATCTTTAATAAATAAAGTTCAACAAGAAGGTATTGATTCTATAAACGCTTTAAAACTTCTACGTGAAAAAGGAAAAATATCTCCTGATTGTATTATGATGATAGTTGAAATGTATTTACAAAAAGTAGCACAATATCAAGCAGGAGAGTATTTTGGTGCTGACAAAGTTCAAGTTTTAAAGTTCGTAGAAGTTTTAAAGCGTTTATAGAATCGATACCTTCTTGTTGAACTTTATTTATTTAAAGACATTGTTCAAGCAATTCCAGAATTCACATTCTCTGGAAAATGAGATTCTCACAAAAAATTGCTCACAGTCTTAAAAATCTAATAGGTGCTGGGTTCACTGTCCGTGTTATAGTGACAGACAATCATTCCACAAATTTTAATGCATTCTCATCATTAGTTATAATGTTCAAGTCTGAATCAAAAAATTTTATTCTTCACTCACAGAATCATGGAAAGAAGACATTTGTTTTATGATAGTGTGCATTTAGTCAAAAACCTTAGAAATAATTTATTAAATGGTAAAAAATTTATTTTTTAGAACTAATATCATAATGCGAACATCAACACTGATTGTCCGTCAGGATATATTAGTTGATGATTTATTCAAGAAATACCATAATGATAATGGTCTGAAAGGTAAACTTACAAAAGCTCCAAAGCTTACATATAAGATATTACATCCTGAAAATAATTAACAAAGTGTGCCACTTGCGTTAGCAATTTTACATGAAACTACAGCAGCCTCAAAAAGCGATTATCCAAACCAAAAAAATATTTCAAATTTTTTAACTATTTTTTACACTTGGTGGACAATAGCTAATACTAAACAAAGGTGGCTGTCAAATATTATTGTCAATGCTATTGTATTAGGAGGCAAGAAAATGATATTTTACCAAGCTCTAGCTGATTGGATCAATCAGAGGTCTTGTTCACTTGCATTCACCCTCGCAACTCAAACTGCATTAGCATTTGTAAATACTTATGTGCTCAAGCACTGCTTGTTGAGGAGCTCCCAAATGATGGGTATGATTATGTGATGACAGCTCGTTTACAAAGTGATCCAATTGAGAGACATTTCTCACAAT